GCCCCTCACGCCTGACTTTCTCCCCTCTCTCCGGCCCCAGCGGGCGCCGAAGCGGCACCAGGGGGACAAGGAGGTCGGGGAGCCTTCCTCCCCGCCCCCCACCCTGCCGTCTCCTCCTCTTCCTCGGGGGCACCCCCCTCGAAAGAACCGGATTCCCCTGAATCACCCTTCGAGGTCGTGCCGGATCGCGCCGCCTTTGACCGGGAATACGGCACCGCCGCCGCGCTGCTGGGGGAGCGCGAGGTGCTGAGCCAAATCCCTGAGGATCGCATCTGCGACTTCCCGGCGAAACCTCGCGCCGGTAGCATCACCGGTGTCACCGCTAAGGTCCCCACCGGATTGTGCCGGCAAACATCCGGCACCGCCGCAGCGTTGGAAGAGGTGTCCAAGTGCGTCCGGGAGATGCACAGTTTTACCAACGAGTTGCTCAGCTGGGATTTGGTGGAGCGTAATGGCGGTAACGGCATCACCAGTGGTAACGGTGACACCAGTAGCAGCGGTGACGCCGGCGGCAGCGGTAACACTGGCGTCGAAGCCGACAGCTCGGGCGATTCTGACGACACTGTCATCGAGGAAGCGCCAGTCGAGGATCTCCCCGGCGGCACCCTTCCCCGGCACCGTGCCACCGCCGGCAGCACCGGCATCACCGTCGCGCCGCCGCCACCCTCCCTTCCCCTAACACCCCCCCGCCCAGCTGCCCGGGACTGGGAGGAGGAGCGGCTGACCCTGCGGGCGCTGCGGGAATTGGGGGAGCCCCCCCAGGATACCCCGAATCCCCCCGGGGACCTGGCCGAACCCCCCCTGGGGACCCAGCTCCTCCCCTGCCTGGCAGGTAAAAAAAAAAAAAGAACAAAAAACCCCATTTTTTTTAATCCCAAAATCATCGCCGCTGCCACTGAGTCACCCCCAAAACAGCAGGTTGGGGGGGGGGGGGTCCAAGGGGGGCCCCCCCCCTAAAAAGGGGGGGCCAAAAAGTGAGGGATTAAAGGAGGAGTGAGGCAAAAAGGGGGATGCAGCCCCAAAACGCCGCTGGGGATGTTGGTGGGGGGGGAGCCCCGCGTCTACGTCTTGTTTTGATGTAAAAAAAAAGGGGATTTCTGGCAAAACCCGCCGTCACACTGGGGAGGAAGTAATTAACGCTTGTTTGTAATGGGGGGGGGGAGGTGGTAATTAATGCCTGTGTCTAACGAGTGAATGGGGGGGTACAGGGACGGCACCGGACCCATTTTGGGGCGAATTGAAGCGAATCAAAGAGAGACGAAGCCATCAGAGGGGAAACAACCAGCCCCCACCTGTGATGGGGGGGGGAGAGACACACTGCACCCCACGTCACCCCCCCTTTGTCACCTCTGTGTCCCCAACAGTCCACGACCTCCTCTTCTGGCGGGATGTGAGGAAGACGGGGATCGTCTTCGGCGCCAGCCTCCTCCTCCTCCTCTCCCTGGCCACCCTCAGCGCCGTCAGCGTGGTCGCCCACCTCGCCCTGGCCCTGCTCTCTGTCACCATCAGCCTCCGCGTCTACAAAGCCGTCGTCCAGGCTGTCCAGAAGTCGGAAGAGGGGCACCCCTTTCGGTGAGGGATATTTTTGGGGGTGTGTGTCCCCCCAGTTTTGGGGGGTGAGGGGTGTTGGGGACAACCCCCCTCCCCCCACCCAGGGATGGTGGCTGGGTGATGCGCTCGGTGGCCCAGCCGCTCTTTCCCCCTCCATAGGAAGGATGAAGGTTTGGGGGGTGAGTTTAGGGTGCAGGGGGGATTTGGGGGTGCAGAGGGAGGATTTTGGGGTCCCCCCCCATTTCTGGGGGGCGTGGGAGCTTGGGGACACCCCCCAGGGGACAGCAACCTCACCCATTGGGTGATGCACAGCGGCCCAGCTGCTCTTTCCCCCTCTGCGGGATGGATGAAGGTTTGGGGGGAGGGGAGTTCAGGGTGCAGGGGGAATTTTGGTGTGCAGGGGCAGTATTTTGGGGTCCCCCCCTGTTTTTGGGTGGGGGTGGGAGGTTGGGGACACCTCCCAGGGGATCGCAACCTCACCCATTGGGTGATGCACAGCAGCCTGGCTGCTCTTTCCTCCTCTGAAGGACGGATGAAGATTTTGGGGTGCAGGGGGGGATTTTTGGGGTGTAGAAGGGGATTTTTGGGGTGCCCCCTCCCTCACCTGACTGTGCCACCCCCCCACCTCAGAGCTTACCTGGAGCTGGACGTGACCTTGTCCCCCGAGACCTTCCAGGCTCACGCCACCACCGTCGCCCACCACCTCAACCAGGTGCTGCGGTTACTCCTCCGCCTCTTCTTGGTGGAGGATCTGGTGGATTCTGTGAAGGTAAGGGGCCTTCCTCCCCCTCCTCATCCTCCTCTTCCCCTCCCCAGGACCCCCCCAAAACGCTCCTCTTATCCTTTACCCCCCCACCCCAGCTGGCCATGTCGATGTGGCTGCTGACCTACGTGGGAGCCGTCTTCAATGGCATCACCCTCCTCATCCTCGGTAAGAGTCGGGCTTTGCCCCCCTCCCCTTATAAAATAACTTCCCCAAATTTTTAATTTTGGGGGGTGGCCCCCCAAAAAATAACTCGGGGGGACGGGACGGGACGGGGACTTGGCCTCCCTCATCCTGTGGCGCTGAACCCTCTGTCTCTCGCAGCCGAGCTATTGGCCTTCACCCTCCCGCCCCTCTACGAGAAGTACAAGGTAAGCCCCAAAATGGAAGGGGGACACCCCCAAAATGGAGGGAGGGTACCCCAGAAAAGAGAGGGGCACCCCCAAAATGGGGAGATTGCCCCTTAAAACCCCCCCTTGCCCCTCCCCACCAGGTGCAGATCGATCACTACGTGGGCATCGCCCGCAACCAGACCAAGGACCTCATGGCCAAGTAAGTGCTGACGGGACCCCCCAAATCACTTTTCCCCCCTCCCTATTGCCGTGGCCCCCCCAAAATCGCTGCGTGCCCCTCCCCAAAATCACTATGCCCCCCTCCAAGCCTCTCACCTCTCTGCTCTCCCCATAGGATCCAGGCGAAGCTCCCAGGCCTGGCCAAGAAGAAGCCGGAATAAAACCCCAGGGGTGGCGGGGAAATATCGGGGTACCCGGCTGGTGCCCCACCACCACCCGAGCTCATCTGCTGGCCCCCTCCAAACTCAGACACCCCCCCC